CATTGTGGAGCCACTTTCAAGGGAGGCCTTTCTATTGAGGGACTTTTTGAATACTTTTTGAGTACAGAAGGGCTGTAAGGATGTTTTGAGAACATTAGTCAGCTTTCTGTCATTGTAACAACACCTGAGATAATCAACTTAGAAAGAAAAACGGTATTTTGGCTCATGGTTTTATATTTCCTATAGTCCGTGAGGGCCCCATTGGATTGAGTACCAGGGAGGATGAAGGAGAGCAAGAAGAGCCTGTGGGTGTAGTTGATTCTGAAGGATTTTACCATAAGAGGGAGTAGAGAAATGAGGTGGGTGAGATAGATAAGGAATGAAGGGGAACTTTTTTTGTTGAAGAAGGGAAATGTTATGGCACATTTACACATTAAGGGAAATGACGCAGTGGAGAGAAACACAGTGACCGTGCAGGAGGGGAAGGTGTCCTAGTCATCCTGGGATGCCATAGCATCTCAAGACTGGGTGGCTTATGCAACAGATGTGTATCTGCTGAAGTCTGGAGCGTGGGAGTCCAAGATCAGGTGCCAGCTTGGTTGGGTCCTGGTGAAGCCGATGTCACCAGGCATTCCTTCTCTCCAGGGGAAGGGGCTGTCCAGGGGGTCATCTCACAGAGAGCACTAACAAAGGTGGAGAGCAGAATGACTAAGGCAGTGGCATTCTAGATTAGGTAAGATGTGTCAAATATCATTATTATTAAAACTTCAGGACTAACAGGCGAGAGGAGAGATGAGTGTGATGGCGATCCTTGGGTACTGTTTGGGGGGTGGATTCAGTGCAGCAACACCAATCCTGGGTCATGCCCAGGCAGTAGTTATGGGGAGACAAAATGGAAACACCCTCTTTTAGGAGGTTTTCTTTTCAAAACTATCTTGCTTTTCTCTGACATCATCAGAAGGTATGTTGACCAGAAGAAGGTTCCTCTTTTATTTCATAAGCACATCTTCCTTCATTTCCATGGCCAGGAGTTGAAGAAGTAAAGCTAGGTCCTGAGCACATTTGAGGAAGTAGGCCTTGACCCACCGTAGAGTAAGTGCCACATGACTTAGGAGAAAGGGGCAGCACTGCAGGGAGGCTTCCAACCACACCCCCCCCCGACTTTTCTTTCCCAAAGGAACCATTTTTAAATTAACATTCTCTACTTACATCTGGTTACAAAAATAAACTCTCTGCAGTTCACGCCAGGTGAACCAAGTGCGCGTCTTTTCTCATTTCATCCCTCCTGCAACTTCCCACCTAAGATGCCCTTCCACAGGGAAATGCCCTCTAGGGAAATATGGCTGATGAAGCAGAGTATTTCTTCACTATTTGACTTTAGAAATTTTTTTTTCCATAAAATTAGCTCCATTCCCTCTGATTTTGAGGTTGAAAAGAGGAAATCTTTTGGGTCCATGAGAGCCTTTGATGTATCCCGATTTCTGCAGAAAGCTTGTTTTTATAACTGTGGCCCCTGGAAAGCAGGGCAGGTTCATTGAAAGAGTAGAGGCTCTTTTTTGGCTTGCTCCTCTTTCTGACCCCTCAAGAGAAAGAATATTCTCCCTCACATTTCACTGCCTCTAAAATCTACCCCAAAGAGACCTGTCCCCACGGTCACTACAATTCTATCTACAGATACAAATTTGCAGGCTGGGAATCCTACCCATTCGGTCATCTCACTCCAGCTGCGGGAGACATATTTGTGTTCCAAAGTGTTTTTCTGACTTAGACACATGAAGAAATTACTTTCTAGTAAGTGGTTGTCTGTACTTTGAATTGTTGACACTTTATATGATCTTATTGAGGTTGGAGATCTCAAAATTTTGGTGTTTTATGAGCTTTCATGAGAGGGAAAATGGAAAGAAATCATGGGACCACAGAATTTCATAAGATGAACAGGAAAAAAAAATCCCATTCCACTTGTGTAGTCTTTTGAGTGGTGACACTGCACAGGGAAGGGAGTGTAAGGGGACAGGAGGTTCACATTTACAGGCGGCTCAGTCAGCCGAGCATCTTCTGGGTGTTTGTTTCTTGCCCTGCGGAATTACCTGCAACAGCACCCAAGCCTGTGCTCTTGGGCCTCCTTCCACCTCATTATCCTGCCCTCTGCCCCAAACCCTCACCACCCCCCACTTTTCTGAGCCTGGTTGAGCTAAGGCGGGAGAACCAGGGGTATGCAGGGCTGGCCCTCTGGAGACACTGTGAGATTACTCAGGTCCAGAGAGATAGAGACCACTACCCAGATTTGCTCATGAAGTTCTTGGGGCCATTTTCCAAAGCCTTTTTTTGTGTGGGTGTGTGGAGCTGGATTTGGGTAGATTGAGAATTGAAGAATTATCGTACAGACTATTTTTTTTTTTGAGAAATTTTGTTCTAAAAGTGGAAGTTATAAAAACCTCAAGGAACTTCTAAGGAGAGTTTATTTCCAAAAATGCAGAACTAGAAACATAGATACAGGTGGAAGGGTCAATGAGGAGACTGTGCTCACAGCCAGAAGAGGGCTACCCTTGAGCATCTTTTGTAAGCCAAGATGGTACGTTGTGTAATTTCCATGATAACCCTGTGAACCGGGCAGGTGGCAGTGCCCCGTGTACCAGTGAGCAAAGTCAGCTAAGCATCTTGCCCAAAGACCTATATTTTCTAAGGGCAGAACTGTGATGTGATCCCATATCTGTTCAACTAGAAAGGTTATTGCTTTTCCACTGTAACCACTGGGGGAACTTGGTTCTAGAGGTGTGTTCTGGCCACACTTCCTGAGCTCCAAGAATACAGTGAGGCATTGCTGTCTAGTGCGACTTTCCTCTCTGACTTGTTCACGTTGGTTTATTGGGTATACTCTTCAATGCTCACATCCAGGGCCCTGTCAGTTGGGGGCAGGCTCCCTGCGACTCCCTGATCAAGAACGTGTTGAATTGTATCTCATGCTTTGCAAGGTGCAGTGGTTCACTCAAGCTCCAGGTAATGACAGCCACTGCCCGCTTGGTTCTTTTCATGGGATAACTGCAATGCCCTCGAGGTGTCACATACCTGCAAATGACACAGCTCACAATTCCCGTGTTTTATAGAGACCTTGTTGAATTTGGAGATGAGTGATGTGATGTCAGGAAAAGCCGTGGGAAAAAATATTCAATATCGAATGTTTTTTATAATTTAATTGCTGCCTGTTCCCAGGCTGAATTGAATTCTGGCAGACGTGTTCTTTTCATAGTCACAAAATACGTTGCGATATGCGGCAAATAAAATGTAGCTCTGGGGTTTTCTCTGCTAATCACAATGAAAAGAATCCGTGGAAATGTTATTGTCTGTTGATGAACACTTTGTGCATTCTTGCAGCCAGTTCTAATTCAATTTATCTTAAACTTAGTTTCTTAAATTGTACAGACAATGAAGAGAATCAGATGATTATTCTAATATAGAAGACATAAACTCACCCAAACCGCCTATACTGCCTCGTGGCTTTTCAGCACCTTGGAGGAGTCCTGCCTTAGATGCAGGAGCCCTTGGAATAGGGCACAGTACCCAGGGGGTCTGAGTTCCCATTCTCTTCATTAAAGAAACACATTGAAGATTAATGGGAACATCTATCTCCCCAGAGCCTGCTGTTGGGACTCTAAGACTAGAACTGCCTGGTCTTTCTGGGACCCCCATAGTGGGCAGTGACCACATCCTTATTTCCTTGGACTTGGAGCTTGGGAATGAGGGGAATAGGATAATAGGATAATGGAGGGAAATAATGAAGGGGAATGAGGAGGCAGGATACTAGATAGTCCAGACTACCTTTGAAAACACCCACTGCTCCTAGAGAAGTTCCCCTTTATTTATTTGTCCTAGTGTTAGATGTACAGATTGGGCCAGGATTAAATGGATTTCAAATGATTTCTTACCCTCCTTATGGGCTTCTGAAGTCTCTCTGGAAGTGTTGGCCTAAGCGTATTGTCTCAGTTTCATTGGTTCCTTATGAAATATGTCTTTTAAAAATAAATGAAATCTCCATAACCTATACTCTTGTTGAAGAATAATGAACTGCTTTTTGGAGAAGACGTTCCATTTCTCCACAGCCAGAAGAGTTCATAAACACCTGCCCCCGTCTAGCGAGCCCTTCCCACCTTCTTAGCCAGAGGGGTTGGACGCAGCATCCTTACTTTCTTTTTAAAAAAATTTGTTCTTTTTAGTTATACATGACAGTAGAGTCTATTTTGACATATTTGTACAAAATGGAGTATATCTTATTCTAATTAGGGTCCCAGTCTTGTGGATGTACATGATGTGGAGATTCACTGTAGTATGTTCATATATGTATATAGGAAAGTTATGTCAGATTCATTCCACTGTCTTTCCTGTTCCTTTCCCAGTTCCCTTCCCTTTGTTCCCCTTTATTTAATCCACCAAACTTCTATTCTCCCCACCCCCTTGTTGTGTGTTAGCATCCACATATCGGAGAGAATATCTAAACTTTTGGCATTTGGGGATTGGATTTTTTCACATCTCTAGCCATTAGAGAAATGCAGATTAAAACTACACTGAGATTTTACCTCACTCCAGTCAGAATGGCAATTATCAAGAATACAAGTAGCAATAAATGTTGGTGAGGATGTGGGAAAAAAGGTACACTCATACATTGTTGGTGGGACTGCAAATTGGTGCAACAACTCTGGAAAATAGTATGGAGATTCCTCAGAAAACTAGGAATGGATCCACCATTTGACACCTTGGTATGTATCCAAAGTAGTTAAAATCAGCATACTACAGTGATGCAGCCACATCAGTGTTTATAGCAGCTCAATTCACAATAGCTAAGCTATGAAACCATCCTAGGTGTCAACAGACGAATGGATGTGGCACCCTTTCTCTCTGTGTGTGTGCGTCAGCTCAGTGTTAGCCTACAGTGTTCTGTCAGACTTGGTCACAGCACTTTAATGGGGTGTTGGGTGAATACCTTTGAAGTGTCAGGGTGTGGCCTTCTTTTTTTCAACAGGAATTACCATGATTGCACTTCATTGAGGATGTCTTTTCCCCAACAGGTTCTTAGCATGATAATCAACGCAGCCTACAAGCCTGGAAGGGTGTTAAGGGAATTGCAACTGGTGGAAGATCCACACTGGAATTTCCAGGAGGAGACGCTGAAAGCAAAGTAAGTGCTCTCAATCCTCGGGCACAGGGTTCTGCTAATTTGCTGCCACTTTGCCTGCTGTTGTGAAACCTGGCATTTCTCATTTTGATGTATGTTATAGAACTGGAAACAAACCCGAGGACCATCATTCTGTAGTTCTATGTGCTACATACAGATTTATTGGTGGTTTTGCTGTATTTTATAGTTGCCTTACGGCTTAGGATTTCTAAAGTGAAGCAGGAATTTGCTTACATAATTTTTTTAATGTTACACACTCAAAATATATATTTATTTCTGAGCCAATAGATTATTTGTTCACAGGAAAAACAATTATAAAGAAAGGGTGCTTCTTGTCATGTTCACTAACAGCTCTTGATATTTTTTGATATTATGCAGAATTTGTACGAAATGCAAGGGTTCTCTACACTGGGATTTGAGGATTTTTAACGATAAAAGGAACTGATGTATCTATTTAGTTTGAGTTCAGTAAAGTGGCAGTGGGCTCTGGGTTGACTTGTAGTTGGGTAACTTTCCTGTCTTTGGAAGCAGGCTAATTGGAAAGGTGAGATTCTGCTTTGTTTAAAGTTTCTTGACCTCTGAAAACAAGAGCACAAACTGTCTCCATGTGCTTGAACTTGGTCACTGAGAAGTTCATAGAAGAGATTGATTTCTCAAGGTAACTTAATGTTCAGTGATTGCTTGGAGTTGTCAGGGCTTTTAATAATCACTTATGGTTTTCTGATAAAGAAGATCTTACTGGTTGATTTCTCTTTTAATAGTGTCCTAAAATATCATTGATATATAGCATTTAGGAAATGATGCTTCCTTGGAAGAACGAGCCACTTTTTGATGGCTCTAGTATATCTATCTAAGTTTAAACAAGGTGCCCGCCACATTCATAGCGAAAACTGAGGAATTCTTCATAATTTGGACAGCCAGAGAGGGTTCTCTTGATAGTGAGCTTGCTGTATCTCCCCCTTCCTTCTCAGTCACTCACTCTGTATTCCCAGTGTCTTTGTAGAACAGCTCTAATCATCTTAGGCTCTACAAAGTCAGGTAAGGGCTAGTGGGACTCCGCCAAATCACAAAGGCTACAAGGATATGCATAAGTAAGGTGAGGGCTTATTTGTATAAAGTGTGATGATTTTGCCAGTGAAAGGTGTCACTGCATGTCACCATCCCTTCCTTCCTGAGAGACTCACATGAGTCTTGTCTATAGCTCAGAGAAAACTAAGTACTTTCCTGTTGAGCATTCCTTTCTCTCCTGCTTTCTAAGGGGGTCACCAGCCATTGAAGCACATTTTCTCCCAAGGCTTTATCAGTGGTGATGGCGGAGATCTTATTCAAGTATTTATACACATATCCTTTCTTCTTGTTTCAAGTCTTTTCTGTATGGTTCGGTGCAGTCCAGACACACCTAAAAGATATGGAAATAGTGAAAGCACAAAGGTCTTCCATTCCATGAGAAGCTCTGCTCCTAAATCAGCCAGAAACTTGCTCCAGACACCATAGTGACAGGGAGAGTTCATTTCGCAAGTGTTGGCACTTATTTTTATGTTACCAGGTCGATCAGAGCTTTTATTAAATCCAGCCTGATACAATCAAAACAGACTCGGTGAAATCCAGCTCTGCTGAATTGTAAAGGCAACGTATTACCTATCATATCGGAGATGACAGGAAGTTTCATAGCAGAATCTTACGCAGCAACTTATAATGAGGAGATGTCTGAATGGGGTTTCGACTCTGTGATCCTAGCAGCGTTTCCCAGCAGCTGCTAATGATGACAGGTTTACAGTCAGCAGGGGCCTTCCTGTGACAACCCTGCATGTTGAGTCACCTCTTTCCTTCTGATGGAAAATGACAACATTTTAGATCGTGACAACTTTGCTCTTTTCTTTGGTGCAAATGGGAGGAGAGCGAGCTGGCTTCTTCCCCTCCAAGCAGAGAGGCAGAGATGTTTTCTGTCATGAATAAATTAACTGAGCAGAGGGGCGACCTGCATTTAAGGCAGCTGTTGTCTTAGTCAGTCGGGAGAGCTGAACTGAAATGTTACAAGAAGTGTCTTCAGGAAGCCAGGGCTGAGGACAGTCTGCAGGGTTAGCGTGATTGCTGTCTTTTAACGTCTGGGACTGCTGATGGATTTTTCCTTAAAAAGAAAAAAAAATTACTTAACAAGGTGCCTTTGAAAAGGTTTTGACCTGCGAATGTAATAAAAACTAACATTGTCATGGATGGTCATAGTCATCTTTGGCGGTTGGCTTCTATTTATCCAAGCAACTATACCTTCCACGGTACGAAGGAAACTATTGCAGTATTTGAACGTCATACATTTTAGCTTTGCTTCGCTGTGAACAAAATATCTGAAAGGAACAACTTAGAGCGGGGAAGTTTATCTTGGCTCATGGTTTCAGAGGTTCAGTCCATGGGCAGCTAATTTCATCCCTCTGGGGATGAGGTGAGGCAGAGCATCATGGTGGAAGGGCATGGAGCAGGAAGGCTGCTCAGCTCTAGGAAGCAGAGAGAGAGCAAGGTGCCAGGGACAAAATATACACCCCAAAGGCAAACCCCCCAGTGACCTACTTCCTCCATCCACATCCTAACTGCCTATATTTACCACCCAGTACTGTAGTCCTTTCAAATTATTAATCCACCAGTGGGTTGATCCACTGATTATGTCACAGCTCTCATGACTGATCATTTCACTTATTGCTATATTCCTGTGTTGTCCCACACATGAGCTTTGGGGGGATACCTGGCATTCCAAACCATGACAGCTTATAAGGAAGGACTCTTCTCATCACTGGTCCTCAGCATGGATCGGAAGGCAAAAATGTACTAGCTGTAGTGCAAAGGGAAAAGTGCGTTCTGTGTAGTTCTGAAGGAGAAATTTTCCTTCTTTCTGATGAATTTAGGTTTTCTAAATTGACCTACATTGTTTTGAATTTAGGAGAAATCTAGGCTATACCTTAGGGGGATTTTAAAAAGCCCTTCCAACTGCATGCATCTAGAGACATTTTAGTGTTTTCCAACATGTTATAAAATCTTCTGAGGAAGAAAAGAAGACCGTGTTAGCTGTGCTTTAAATGCTTTTGAGCATGAAAGCCAGGTAAAGGCCTCACAGATTTTTTCCAGTCCTTTGTTACAGATATTCAGACTATTTAAAGAGAAAATGTGCTGGTTATCATTTCAAGTAAATTAGATTTCATTGTCACTTAGGCAAGGAGATAAGGTCAGATTTTTTTACTTAAAAATCATCTCAAGAATGGGGCATGGTCAGCTCTGGAAATATTTGGTTTCTTCCTTTTCATGAATAATGGCAAATTTTGTATGTACTTTTGTTTATTTGCCCTTTCTTTGGCCTTTACTCAGGCCTATATTGTATGAACAGTGAGATGTAACATTGGCCTTAAAGTGACTTGTGTGAAAAGTATTCCTCACCTGTTCGTGTGAGCTCCGCTGGCTCAGATGTTATGGTTTGCTCCCCTGGAAACGTGTGGTGAACTTCAGGTGAGGTGAGCAGGTGGACCGGTCTGATGGAAGAGCAGGCAGTTCCCTGTGTGTGTCCTTAAATTCTTCTGGTTGTGGCACAGTATGTCTGGGTTCAAACTCAGATCGGTTTAGGAAGTTCTGAATGACTCTCTCCTAAAATAAACACAGTACCCCATTTGTGGCACAGAGTTCCCAGTACTTGAAAAGCAGGCAGCAGAGAAGAAGGAAAGCAGAAATTTCTAAGCTTATTTTGTATTATGAGGCTGAGAAGCCAGAAGCCCTGGAGTGGGAAGGTTAAGAAGATGAGACCATGAAGTCAAAGCTCTGTTCTGAAGGAAGTCAGAACCAGGCCTCTCCCCGTTCCCACAGGGTTAGTAGAGGTCCCTTTTCCCCTTAGCTCCTCCTCCTATTGGAGGATGTGAACTCAGTGGAAGAACTGGCCTCGACCTCTGCTCCCTCACCCCATCACTACCTGGGAGGTCTTGCTAATCGCTCCTGGTAAGGGGTCATCCTAAAGATGAATGGTGGAACCCAGGCTGGACTGCAGTTGTCCCCCTGGACTGTGCTTATGAATGGATCCTTATCCCATCCACATTGGTAGGAAAGAGAGGAGACTATTCAACCTGCCACTCCTCTGGCTCCCTCTTCCTCTGCCCCCTCTATTCTGCCATGTACCCTCCTGCGTGGAAATAAATCCCTAAAAATGTGGTTAGGACATCCTTATTGATATCAGGGAGGGGAAACCTCCTCCTGTACCCTGTTAGGTTCAGGGTAGAGACTGCAATCTCATGGATTAAACTGGCAACAGAGGCAGGGGAGGGTGGAGGGGGTTGATGTACAGTTCCGTGTTCATGCACAGGGACACTCAGGAGCGGGTCAAATAGCTGCCTCGGTAGGGAAAGGCCGTGGACAGAGAAGGCTTCTCCCTACAAGAGTAAACAGAGTTCTTTGAGAAGGAGAAATTGTGTAAGAGAACCAGTGGGAGATAAAAACGTGCGAGATAATGCTTGTTTCTGCAGGTGTGAGTGGGCTCTTCATCTTTGTGGCCATGGAGTTCCTCCAGACGGGGTTGTGGTGGGTCTACTCCTGCTGTCTCTCTCTGAGTAGACGCTGCCCCAAAGAGGGGATTTATGGCCGTCCTCATTCCTCAGAAGTTTTCACTGTCAGATAACAGAAGCTCCCAGAAGGCCTCTTTTTCTGTATCTGTCAGCTTAAATAATCTGTCTAGTTACTCTGGGGATCCAATTTGGGTCCCCACACAGACCAGAGTCAGCCGCAGCATCTCCTTATGTGCTCAGTTTGTAGTGAAAGGAGATGAGTTTCCTGCTTCCAGAATCCTCCAGAACCTCAGAATGCTAACATGCTAAGAAGAGAGAGTAGAGGATCTTCTAAAAATCAGGGCAGGAGCTCCTGTCAGAGGACTGTCGGACATAAAGAGTCTCCTAGCGGGACACCTCCCCTCCTCCTGTCCTTCCTGTTCTCTTGCTAAAGGCATCATCCCCAGCCCCATGATCCTTTGTTTCTTGCGTTTTCCTTCCTCCTTTGGAGATGATTTTTCACACCAGGCAGTCCTCTGGTCTGGTCTCTTAATATTCTCCCCCTGTCTCCTCCTCCTCTCAGGACTTGGAATGTGTGCTGCAAATGTTTCTCTGCACGCTGCCGAGCCCCGCTGGGCCATGTGGTGGGTGGCCCACGTGTGCTGCCCTCAGGACCCACATTTTATGGGGGTGGTATCAGCATGTGGTTTGGGGTTGTTCTCTGCGCATGTCCTGCTTACAAAAACAAGTGTTCATTTGGATTTTACAGAAAAATCACAAACACAGAATAAAGGTACTGTTCTTTCTCCTGATCAGCTTGAGAATAAATGGTGTTAGGCCTTCATATCAACCCCCAAAACCTCATCACATATGCTTTACTAACCAAGGCATATCACATAAGAAGGGCTGCAATCTTTGGTGCCTCTTTCCTGGTGGCACACCGTCCACATTTGTCTCATCCCGATGATGTTTACTTTGATCATTTAATTAGTGATGTCTACACACTGCTCCAACTTGGAGGTCATCTGTGGGGAGATACTTGATACTATGCAGTGATGCCATTCCCCGCAAACTTCCAGCTCATTCGTTACTTCCTTGGTGTGATTGGTGGATTGCTGTTTACCAAGTGTATTATCCTCCATTACTATCATGTCTTATTTTGATTCTCAGATTGCCTTAGATTTGCCTCAGTTGGAGCCACCTACACCTGGCTTTTTTGTCCCTTCAGTGTGTCTCTGTCATTCTTTGATATGCTTTTTCTTTCTGACCCAACAAGATGTTCAGAATATATCTTCTTTCCTGTCCCCAGTCCTGGAATTAGCCATTTCTTCAAAGAACCTGATTTTTCCCTGTGGCCTTATGGTGGGGGCGTTATTGTCGGGGGATGGGTGTAAAATGGCTTCTAGAACCGAAGACCTGGCATTAGCTGTGCTCACTGCTCTTCAGGTGTCACTGCTGCCTGGTTCTGGGAACAGAGCTAGGGTGTTGATGTGCATGTACCTGCTAACCCTTGCTGGAGTCAGGATCCCATCCAGGTTCCAGTCCCCGCCCAGCACACCAGCTTCCTCCTAGCCTTTTCTTTTTCCATATTTGTAGCTCTGCTCCTGGTGGTGGGAACCTGGCTCAGGCCAGCTTCAGTGGACTTGTTTAGTTTTTACTTCCTCAGGCCCAGATCACCCCAGTGTCCTCACCACTTTGCTCCCTGCTCAGAAGGACTTTGCCTGCATGCAGATGGCCTCCTCTCCATGTGTGGCCTGCTTTCCACCTGTGACAGGCTGGGTGTCTCCCACACAGGCTGCACTGCCCTAACGAGGCCCTTGGGACCCACCCCTTTGAAAAGGGACAAGAGGTGGCAGGGTTGGGCGGGTGGAGTGTCAGCTGAGGCAGGCCCTAAAGGGGCTACACTGAAGGCTGTCTGCCAACCGCCCTTGATGGGAGGGGATCCCGGCCACATAGCTGGGTCCCGCACCACCTGGGCACCATGGCTCCTAGACAGTGTTGTTGTGCAGGGAGGGCGCAGAAGAGGAAAGTCACCCGTCATCTGTAAGCCGTGCTCTAATTCTCATTTTCTAAAACAATTCTGCTGAACCATCCCAAATTAAGGAGGGAAAAAGCCACCCTCTTCCTGTTTCCCACAGGGACTGCACCCGTTAGGGCCTTGTGACCCAGAGGCTTGGCCAACTCAAGTATCTGATACTCTTTGAGCACTCCTGCCACAGTTTGACATCTGACCTGGTGTTTACATTTCTCCTGCTTTTTTATGTCTTATTATTTTACTTCTCTAAGAGACTTTAAGAATCTTGATATTGAGCTCTTTTAAACAGAGCCCTTGGACCACCAAACACGTCATGGATAAATCTGCAAGGGAAAACATACCCATTGGTTCTTCATTTCCCACAACATGGGGGGATATACAGTGTTCACCGAGTTGTGCTGTTTTTGGGGGAGGGGGCATGAAATGCATCAAAAGCAAAAACTTCCCCTCCCCAAAAGCAAGTCCTAGAGACCCTCCTCTAGGATGGGGATGGGGAGGTTTCTACAGTAGGATTGATAGAGGTCCGAGAAAAATCAACCGTTGTGCCAGGCTGGAGGATTTAAAGCATGGTTTTATCTACAAAGCATGGCTTTTTAGTTCTTACTCCACAGAAAGTCAAGCTTGGCACATCAGAGAAGTTAAAGAAAAAGGAGGGCAGAGGTACTGGGATATGAAAGACCACTGAATAAATATAAAGTACGTTTTTTCAAGTTAGAATCTAATTTTTTTTCCTGTTGAAACTTTAAGAAGTGATTTATTGGGGGAAAATGAGTTTTTCCAGACTCCAGAAAGACATAAAAAAAAAAAAAAAAAGCTGAAATACGACTCAGTAGCAGTTTTTTTCTATTCATGTCTATTACCACATTGTTCTTTGTGAACCGGATATCAAGGTTCTTGAACTTATTTTTTTTACCAGCAAGTCACAGAAATGACGGTCTCCTTATTTTAGACTCAGATTTGCACAAATTAACTTCCTGCTCTTCCTGTTGTGTCCTGTCACGGGCTGCCGGGTACCTGAGTTGTCCAGTGTGAGAAATGCCACAAACAGTATGTAGTGATAGCTTTGGTAAATAACATTTGTACTAATTTTGGGGAAAACAACCAAAATCAAGAGGAATCAACTTCCAGGGTAGTCCAGAAGGTTAGGTGAAGATTTGAGGTCCTTACCTTACTGGTTGGCATTGAAGGCCTACCTTGGAGGTTGATCCCTCTCAATTTTGGTTGTTTTCCCCAAAATTAGCACAAATGTTTTATCTGCCAAAGCTACTAACCACTATGTACTATTTTTCTGCAAAACAAATTGCTCAGGATTTCAATTTGAAAATTGGGATCCACATCAAGGACAGTTTCATGGGCGCAGCTGTTCTGATGCAGCCATGTCAGTGGCCTCTGTGTTTAGTGAGTGTGAAATAATCAAAAGACCAGTGGTCCCATGCCAATGGGAAAGTTTACCATTATTCTGTGCCCATAATAGCTTTAAAAAGTATGGAAAGGTGATCGAAACTGATTTCCAAGTGCTTGTGTTTCCAGCTGGGCTTCTTATTCTGTTAAATCCTGGGTAAAGCCTCCAGGAACTGTTTGTAAACCAAGAACTGTCCATTCTGCCTTCTATAGATCTGTGGCTAGTCATTGCTGATGTTTTTCTTGGGAGAAAGGTTTCTTTCCTGCAGGTGAAGATCAGCTAGCTCATGAAGACAGTATCTAAATCTCAGAAGCATCTACACTCTCCAATCCTTTGTCGTGTTTGTGGGTGGGGAGGAGGGAGGAAGGACAACCTGGATTTGTCATTATAGTTAAACAATATCAGTTGCACTTTCCTCTGCCGCCACCAGGTCATAGGGAAGACCCTAACAGAATATTTAAATACCAGGACAGTAAAGATGGCATCTCTGTAAGCAATGTTAGTTGGATGGTAAGGTTTTCATACCCTTAATTCAGTTCATTGTAAGGAAAAAGGGGTTTGAGTTTCTGGGTCTCCTTTTTCTGGTGCCTTAGAAAAGTTTTGGGAAAACTTCAGTATTTACACTCTAGACTATTCTTCCTCTGAAGAGAAGAGCAAAACACTTAAAGAAGCCCTTAGAGAATTGTTGTGGAATATATAAACCAAGAAAGGGCAGAGTGCATGGCAGGCAGCAGCCATGATCAGAGGAGAAGCAGCTTTGTGGGTGACAAGCTGTCTAGGGGTCCCTGGTTCTTGTCCCTCCCTTTCCTCTTGAGGTTGTATTAGCCCAGACACCATAACAGTAAGCTCAGGCTGAGTGGTGTAAGCAGCAGACATTCATTTTCTCATACCCTGAAGGCTGGGAGGCTAAGGTCGAGGAGTCAGCCAGGCAGGTGTCTCCTGAGGCCCTCTCCTTGACTGTGGATGGCCATTTTCTGTGCACATGTCTCTAGAGTCTCTCTTCTCCTGTGGACACCAGTCCTATTGTTTTAGGGTCCATCCTGTTCATATGATTTAACCTTAATTTCTTTAAAGGCCCCATCTCCAAATACAATTGCAGTATGAGATAGGGCTTTAACATGAATTTGGAGGGGACGGAGTTCAGTCCTTAACAAGAATGAGGTGTCTTAGGTGAGGTCCTTTTGTTAAATTTACTGCCTCTCGTTCTCTCTCTTTAACTGGAAAAATGAATTTCATTATTCCTGATATACAAATTAAGACTCTTAAATTCCCAAAGACTTCAGTGCCCATTTTTGCTCCTGACACACAGAAGCGTTTTCTGTACCTGTTGGTCATTCCCCTGAGGTCTGTTCTGGTTCTGTGACCGCCAAAGCCATGCGCCGTGGGGCGCCTGCTGTGCCGGGAATCCTTGTGTGGTCTCCTCATCTTGTGTCTGTGTTGCAGTTGCTGGATTTTGTTTTTTTGTTTTGTTCTCATAAAATCCATTGTGTTTCTCTCCTTTTAAATGTGACCTTGCTTACCTATCACCATTCCGCACAGATGCCATTTATGAATAATGGAAATTGTCCCCTGTTTCAACAAGGTGATATGCAGTCTTGGCAAAGATGTCATTTCAGTGTTCTGAATTTACATGGTGTTTCAAAGCAGAATCATGATCCCATATGCACTTGTGCTGTTCAAAAATGAAATACAGCAGCAGCAAAATATCTTTTAGATTTCATGAACTTCATTTTGAGGACCATGCTGGTTAGGTATGTATCAAACACTACTGGTCTTTGGCATGAGGTTATATACAGCACAATGAGAAGGAAGTCCTTACTGCAGATTTAGCACCATTGCCACGTATTTTGTGTACCCTCGTGAGCATTTTTTAAAAATATTTTTGTGAGATCATAAGGAAGTATATAAAAGCCAATAAAATGCAAACCACACAGCATTCTTTGTTATTAGAAAATGAAGTGGCTTTGGAATATGCTGGTCCTAGTAATCATTTGATTTTACCATTGCTTTCCCTTCCTTATTTTCTAGGTACAGAGGTAAAACTTACAGGGCTGTGGTTAAGATCGTACGAACATCTGACCAAGTAGCAAATTTCTGCCGACGAGTTTGTGCCAAGTTAGAATGCTGTCCAAATCTGTTTAGTCCTGTGCTGATTTCTGGAAACTGCCCAGAGAACTGTTCTATTCATACCAAAACCAAATACAGTAAGTACAAATGATGATAAAACCTAACAACATTGGTCCATAAGCCGGAACTGCAGCATAATATAGTTGGTTTTTGTTTTATTTTTAGCCTTCCGAGTAGTGTTTCATAGGAGCTGCTCTGGAAAATTGTTTTAAGATTTGCTCTGGAAGATTCCTATGTGTTTTTAGCCTGGCATTGAGGGAGGGATGGGGTCAATTCAAAACAAGGTGGATTGTCATCTACAGGCTTTGGAAAAGGAGAAAGGAGAAGGTGCGTACTATCTTGGATTTTCCATGGATCACCTTCTCCACAGCTCTGTGGCTGGGAAGATAAACTGGTGATTTGTGATGCTCAGGAACCCAGATTCATCTCTTATCCTTATGCTGAGAAGCCGAAGAGGTCTTTTGATGCTTTTCTTGCGGATCCTTGTCCTGGCAGCTTCTCCCCTGGTTAGACACATGCTCAGCACTCTCTGAGGGCTACCATAACTAGAGGATTCTGGAGCAGCCGTCCCCCCCTTCTTTGTCCCCAGCCGCCTTTGCCTCTCCACTGTAATATAGGATTCAGCCTGGTGCCACTTTCCCAACTGGTAGCATGTACCTCTGCCAATCCCATCTCATTCAGTGATCCTGCTGTGGGTTCACAGTCACTCTCCGCCCTGTGCTTCCTGTATCTTGGTGGCCTTCTCCATGTTGATAGCCACTCCAGACATCTCCGTCTCTGATATCTCAAACCCCGAAAACAGCTTCTGAGCTCCCCTCAGTTCTCTGTCATCCCAGGGGCAGTTGGCTCTGCCAGCCCACATTCCAGCCCCCTGCTGGAGAGGACAGGGACCCACATAGTGTGGCCAGTACTCTGTGAGCCACAGCCACCTGTGACTCGTTCAGTTGGGTGTGGGAACCAGGAATCTGGACGTATCTGAGGCACTGTTCAGGGTGTGATGTCCTTCTTTCTCTCTGTGCACGCACATGCATCTGCCTTCCACTCCTGTTTCTACAAAAGGTCAGCCACGCTCTGTCGCAATGATCCCCATTTCTATGTACCCACGTGGTCTTGGGTGAGAACCCAGGTGGGTTCATATCTTCTGCTTCCTAAAGAACTCATCTCCACAGCCTCTCTGTGGCAAGGATTCACTAGGTACAGCCACTCCCGAATGAGGAATGATGAGGGTGAAACTTGGCCTTGAATTTTAGCGTGCAAATGAGCTTCCTCATAGGACCTAGGGAACAGGAGGGAAGGAGCAGCTATTACAACTCAATTAAATGCAGCTGAAATGAACTTGAAGATGATCCTGGATCTGGTTTTATAAAACTTCAAAGTCCTGAGATTCCTTACGTGGTCTTAGAGTGAACATTGCTACAGACGGAACCTGAGCTCCAGCCAGAGGAGTGCAGAACAATATTTTGATGGAATCCAGAACAGCAGGAGTTGTTCAGTCTAATTCTAAGGCCCCCCAAAATGTACTGACCTCTGGTTACATTCAGTCAAACCAGTTCTGACCTCTGTACCTGCTTCTAAGAGGCTGCACCAGCCTTGCCATGCCTGCTTGGGATTTGGGAGGTGAGAATGGTTTCTCTTTCCTCTCTCTCCTCCTCCCCCATCTACCTCCTCTCCAGAGCAGTTGCCTCCCCTCCTCTTCTCTTCCTTTGTCCAGGTGTGTGTGTGTGTATGTGTGTGTGTGTGTGTGTCTGCAGCCTAAAATGTTTTAAATTTTCTTTCTTCCGTAGCCTATTATTATGGAAAGAGAAGGAAGATCATTAAGCCCCCAATTGGGGAAAGCAGCATTGAGAGTGGACACCCAAAACCAGCCCGAAGAAGGAAACGACGAAAATCCATTTTTGTGCAGAAGAAGCGGAGATCTTCGGCTGTGGACCTAACTGCGGGCTCTGGGGAGGTACCGTCTGCTTAACTAGAAGCACCTGCCAACATTGGGTTTTAAAGTATGGCCCTCCTTGGGGCAGAATAAGTACCCTCCTTCCTGTTTGGTGAACACAGCTTAGCTGCTTTGGCTAGGAAAGGGCCACTAAGCACTGACCTTGAGACTATGGGAGGAATGTCAGGCGTCCCTGGACAAACCTGGCACAGGTTTGCATGGGCTGTCCTGGGGAGGAAACTGTGCTGGGATCTGAGCCTGCACTGTGGCCTATGGCGTAGGCCACCCTGCTGTGCTCAGCGAGTCCCATGCCACCCACCCCCACACTTAAAGCTTTCCTCTTATTCCCAGGAAAGTGAAGAGGAGGACGCAGACCAGCTGGATGAAGACACTGCAAGTGAGGAGACCGGCTCGGAGCTCCGAGACGACCAGACCGACACCTCGTCGGCCGAGGTCCCCTCGACGCGGCCACGGAGGGCGGTCACCCTGCGCAGTGGCCCAGAGCCTGCGCGGCGGCCAGTGGAGAGGGCACGCAGGAGCCGCGTGGTGCAGGCCACCCCTGCAGAGGAGGAGGACAAGGGTCCTGTCGCCAAGACTGAGGGCCCTGAGGTGAGCCCCAGAGCCTGGAACACGAGTTCACAGGGGCGATTTGGGAGGATCACAAGTTCAAGGCTAGAGTGGGCAAGGTAGCGAGACCCTGTCTCAAAGAAGATTGGATCTGTGGCTCCATGGTAGAGCCCCTGGGTTCAATCTGCTGTTACCAACCAACCAAACAACAGGCGAAATAGCAGCAGCTGTTCTGGTGAAACTCCCAAGTTGGTGGGGTCAAAGGCTTTGATGTCACCTCGGCAGAGTGAGTCCTGAAGCAAGAGAAGGGAGCAAGGACTGGAGGAGCACCCTCATTTCTGAAGGGTTTTTACTCCACCAGGGCTTCTAGTCAGGAAGAGGGCAGGGTCTAGTGCTCCAGGTCCCTCTGAACACTGGGCGCCCCAAATCTCATCTCCACATCTCCTGTTTCTAACTTGCTTTTTGCTTCCCACTGCCTGTTGAGGGGGTCACCTCTGTGGTGTCATAAAACGTGTATCAGGCAGATGGCAGCTGTTCAGGTGGTATGTGTCATTGGCCCCACCATCACAGACACCTTAAGGACAGCTGGCTTTCTTGTGCACTTTCTCTCTGTAGCTTATGATTATGAAAAGAGAAGGAAGATCAGTGAGTTCAGCACCCTAAACCAGCCAGGAGAAGGAAAGGAGCAGGGTCCCCTTAGCATCCTCGTATCTAAACAGAGATGCTTCGTCCATAAGCAGGCCCAAGATTTCCCGACCTGGGGCTTCAGGATGGGCCGTCAAGGCCTTTCTGTATCTAACCTCTGAAGGCACAGGGGTCATTGCAGGTGCAGGGGAAGTCACCACTGGGACACTTGTGAGGAAACTCCCCAGAGACAATTTCTGGGCTTGTTCAGGTGCCCAGGAGAGACCCAGGGCGGTGATGACTCAGGTCCAGGACAGCGTTAGAAGGACCCAACCGGCCACACAGTGTGCAGTGACGGTCCCCGCCCTGCTTCCCCTGCAGGAAACCAAACAGGAGGAGGAGGGAAGGCTCGTCCTGGAGAGCAACCCGTTGGAGTGGACAGTCACCGACGTGGTGAGGTTCATTAAGCTGACCGACTGTGCTCCCTTGGCCAAGATCTTTCAGGAACAGGTATGGTGGCTGGCTGTGTAGTTATTGGTTCATGTGAGACTCCAGATCTTAAAGGAACACCCTGTCTTACCTGGCTTCTTCACGACTGCTAGGCGGGGACAGATGTTTCAGGTGCCCATTCAGCTGCAGTTGACCCCTGTGAGGGTGTTCTTTCGTGCTGACGGGCAGGTGTGGGAGACCTGACACCCCATGCCCCAGAGCCTGGTTCCTGCTCCTCACTGTCTCACTGACCCCATGGAGGTGAGACTCTTCTGATAGCACCCAACAGGGCAAGGGCGAGGGAAGTGCTATTAACTGACAGGTGAGTTGTGGCAGTCCAGGCCCCACCTTCATTCTACACTGACCCCACAATGGTGGACTTGCTTTTTATTGTCCAGCAGGGATAAACATCCAACTCCTGCTTGTCCTTCTCAAATGTCACCTTGCTGGGGTGTTGGGGGGCCTGGTTGCAGCCTGGATGGACTGGAAGTCAAGGCTGATTGCTGGGCCTTACCTGGTGGGGAGTGGGCTGGACCAGATTTCCCCATAGCCTTTTCCTGCAGTAGAGCCATTAGTTCTACAAGTATTTTTTCAGTGCCTGTTGGCAAATCTGGGTTTCAAGCATCTTTGGCTCTCATAGAAGCAAATGATAACTACAAAAAAAAAAAAAAACCAAAAAAACAAAAAACAAGAAACTCAGTACTGTCATTAACTCAGGTCCCTGGGATCATAGCCAGTCTTCCCTGTTCTTTCCAACATTCAGATTCCTTCTATTTGGTTTATAAATAATGGCCAGTGCTCTTAGTTCTGCTTGGCAAGAGAATAGGGAAATGTGTGTCTGCTGGACCTTTTCTGAGGGGAAGCCCTCTGTCCATTGTGTTCAGGTTAATTCTGTTTTCATCACTGTTTGCTTACTTTCTAGGTTTCTTTCATCACAAAACAGTTTAGAACCAATAGTATTATGATGGACAAATGTACAATCCATTGATGCAGTCTAGACCTGAAAGGAGTTTGTAATCTAGCAAATGAAATGGCTATAGTTAGCTAAAACAGCCAGACAGGGGACAGTGTGCCCTGACAAGAAAAGGGTTTTCATTTCCATTTTCCCTTAAGTTAATCTGAAAGCAAACTGCCAATCTGCACACAAGCCACCTTGCATCATTCTGCCTCTGGCCTTGTCTAAAAAGTTCAAGTGTAAGCCTGTGGCTCAATTGATTGAAATCCTTGCATTGTTCCACAGTGTAATCAATATCTGTCTTTTCAGAACTTGTGTTAAAAAAATACTGTTTTCCATATAATAAATTGAAGATATGTTCATCCAGTCTACTTTTAGATTTAACAAACCAACAGTCTAGAAAGAGGATTTTTCAAGCATTAAATCAGAAAAATAAATAAGGAAGGGTCTCTGGTTTCCCATGCACCCAGGGAGTTTCCCACTTTTTCTCCAAAATCAATGTTGTAATGAATTGTACAAAGCAAATTAATGCAGTTCCCATCTCCGTCAAGTAGGGTATTTCTTGACATTCAGACTTCTCCAGAACAGTCCTGGAGGTGGAGCAATCCATATGATCCACCCTGGAACCTTCTGCAGATTTGTGATAAATTCGGGCTGAAGGAATGAATGGGGCTGGTTCCCTCCTGGCCTGCTGACACTTGCTGACACTGAGAGTGGATAAACTGGGAGCGATTTTTTTTTTTTTTTTTGACCTTAAGAACCCAGGATAATGATCTTGTCCCTTATTAAAACACTCAAATAAAAAGAGAATTTCGTGTTGGAGTTTAGGTAATGGGTTTTTGTGATAAGCTTTGCCTTAGTCTTAAAATCAAAAATAAAGCAATAGGTGAAATTCATTGCCTAGTGCAACATTTTCCCGTCTGGCATTTATTTATTTATTTATATTAGGGAATATCTTATTGCATATGAAGCAGACTGAAAACCCCATTTGTTCACATAAGTTCCCTGTGGCTGGTTAATACCATTTAAATTGCTGAAATCAGCAAAGTTCACAACTTTCACAGGATTCATGATGGCATTGCAAAAAAAAGGAAAGAAAAAAAAACATTGTGTTAAAATATGTGACAAATGCCAATTATACAGGTTTTAATATGCTAATGTGTATCTGTTGGCTCATTTATTTTTTCAACAATATTGACCACCTGTTATATGCTTCATGATGTCCTACAAGTGTTTATGGAATGTGGTCCATTCTATATTGGTATTAAGTTTTGTTTTTGTATTTTTCTTGATTTAGCTTCTAGTGCCCACATTTAACTAAGAAATATTTTTCAGTTGAGCCAGAACAAAGGACTGATTGTCTCACTTCTGGATTCCAAGTTTCCAGAGCTCAAGACCATTTGTACCAGGAGAGGTTAATAGGCTGGCTCATCCATACCTTGTATACATACATCCTAGTAAAGGAAAGTGAAGCAAAGCTGGTTAGAGAGAAAAGGCTAAAATGCCACTGGTATAAAGTCCTCTCTTCTTCTAATCCTAAGCCCAGTTTCAAATAGTATATCTCAGAACATTTCAAAGACATGGAACGTGACCGGCACATCCCTGCTTGTCGACTAAAGTAGTCGGCCCCCTCCCTCCAGCCACTCTTCTAGTGTCAGTGAAAAGCTTGGTTCTTCATTCAGACTCTCTTCCTCTTCTGAGAGAGAAAAATAGGTAGGCTTTAGTTGATAAGAGTCTTATTTCCACTTAATTTTACATTTCGCATTAGGCATTTTCACCTGTTATAATAAAAAGCTGTTGCCCGCTGGGTTGTGTGAAGTGTGAGGGCACTTGAGTCCTTTTCTGTACCATCAGACCTTTAATTACTAATTTTTACTAATTTGTTCTATCATCTTTTAGCCCAGATGACACAGCTCTGATGTGGTGATGCCTCTGGTGGGTCACTGCGGGCATTTATCTGAGCTCTGAGAGGAACTAGAAGGAGCCCGGAGGCTTGATAGGCCTGTGTGCAGAGATCACAGTCTGCAAATGCTGACGGCTGTGTGCATTCTCTCCCCTGGGTGCTGTCAGTTCACAGACTGTTATAATCTCCAGGAGCGTTTGCAAAAATTATAAACTCCCCATTAACAGCACACACGCCTTTTATTTCTGGAACGTTATGGCAACCTCTTAGAAAATCTATACTCTATAATTTTATGCTGCAAACATATACATTATGTAGTAAAAATCCACACATCTATAACTAAAAAAAAAAAAAAACAACATAAAACTCTAAATAGTGTTTTGCCTATTCGTTCACCTTTTATGAGTTAGTCTGCTCACATACAATAAGCAGACTGACCAAATTAGCGATTTACTTTTAAAAAAATTTTTTTAAGATTGTTTATAAGTCTCCTTGCGATTGAGAGTGTTTCCTCCTCTTTTTACTTCTCTTGACCTGAGCACTTCCATTGAAGAACTGCCAAGTCCTAAATGAAGTGCTCTATCAAAATAAATGTAAATTTGCCACGTGCTAAGCATGGCTTTCGTGTTGTATAATTTATTATATTCTATGTCTTTAAAATTAGTAATCCAGTGTAACATAATGAGTGTTCTGCTAGCAATTCTGAATTCTATAGGAGTGTACTTGTAAGAATTAAGTCAAGTGTGAAGTCTGGGGTATTTGTGTAATCTTTGAGGAAAAAACAACTTCTTCCAAACCATCACAAAGGCTAGGTAAGAGGGAGTGTAGGGGGATCACTCCCTTGTTCCTTGATGGCTGGGGATGTCACACCTGTATTCTCTTCTGCCCAGTTTTGTTTCCATTCACCCACTTCCTTTCCTGCCCATTGTGAGGTGGACTAAATGAGTCACATATAGTCTGCAGCATGAGCAGGTCTGACACAGGTTAGGCATGTCTGTCAGCCATGATTCTGAGGTCCCTGAGGCCTTCCAGGGTCCTCTCCACAACCCCAGCAGGGACCACCTGACAGTCAGCCATTGAACCTGACTTCAAAGCTGGGGTTGTGGCTTAGCGGTAGAGCGCTCGCCTAGCACGTGCAAGGCCCTGAGTTCGATCCTCAGCTCCACATAAAAACAAATAAATAAAGGTATTGTGTTCATCTACAATTAAAAAATAGATATTTAAACAAACAAAAAACCTGGCTTCTTCCAGCAGGCAGTGTGGAAATCAGGAACATGAGCTTATTCTCGGTGGCATGGTCTTTTCAAAGTGGTAATACCCAGGAGTTCTATTTTGTGTCATTTAGTGAAGACAGAAAATGAGTTGAAAACCTAGCGGTGACAGCGGTTGGGCCCTTAGGTGGCTCAATTAGGGACAAGTTGCATTTTAACCACTTTCCCCCCGTTTATAATTGGTCCAGTTTTTAGTTAATTCTTCCCAGACGGAGCCAGGATGAAGGAACTCTGTAACAAACAAGGTGGTTTGGCCTTAGCCTCCCCCCAGATAGGAATCCCTCCAGATAGGAATCGCCTTCCTGAAGATAGGAATTCCATTCAGTTCTTGTTTTCTCCTCACTTCTTAGTACCACATGCACCAGGTTTTCCATGTGGTAAATTGGCTTCTTTGGGGGGCCAGGGGTGGGCCTGTACTCAAAGGCATGGCCTCTCTACACTTCTGTTTCAGCTTGAAGTTCACACCAGGGTGTGTGGCCTCTCCCTCACCCTCTTCCTGCAGCATCAGAGCAGAGACCTTTTGAAACCTACAGTGTGTCTCTCTGCTGCTAGTTGGGCAGGGGGAAGTCGGGCCCAAGGCACTCACATTGGCTTTCCTGCTTGGGGAAGTCTGAGGACAGGACAAGTGACCAGGTGGTCGGGTGGGGCAGGAGGGACATCTGGTTTGATAACGTCAGAGGATGCCATTTTGAGTCCCCAGACCTTTCAACACTCAAAAAGCATTTGTTGAGAAAATAAGTAAAGAGTAGCATCCTCTACTTGAATGTAGTATATATTTAATGTCAGTGACCTTCAGTGAAATTGTCTGTAGAGAAACAGTTACATGTTAGGGCTGATTTTCAGTTCTAATTGAATACATATGTCCAAGGAAGGCCATCGTGTCCAAGTGTGGCTGTTAAAGACTTCTGTTGAGAGTTTAACATCAGAGAACCACAATTCTAGTTCCAATGTTGTCTCTAACCAGCTGTATGATCTTGGCTAGATCAGCTAGCTTTTCTGGTGATTGATTTCCATCTTAAAAACAAACTTCTCTCTCCTTAGGCTAAGTTGCAGTGTGAGTCTCTTTCCTGTTCTGTTGATTTCATTGAACATGATGGTGAAGCCACCTGCACCACTGTGGTGTAACATCAGCCCACTGCACACTTAAAAGTGTATTTCCATGAGACCCATGGTGCTTAGAAGACTTGGTGTCCCTGGGCTGAAGCCTGTCTGTCTACTTTGATTTAACTTATATAGGTTTGGCTCCAAACATATCCCTGGCCAGGAAGTACCCTTCCTAGCTTCATGACCTTGAGCCAAATACTGTTTCTTCCAGTTCAATACTTCTGACTCCTCCTTAGTATAGTCAGCCTTATCAGTAGCCTTTGAAAAGGAATTAAAACAGCATGTAAGAGCAGTACAAGCAAAGGAGAAGAAATTTAAATGTAGCCTAAAAAAAATTGACATTTTATTAGTGTATCTTTCAGAATGTGTTCCAGACTGATCTATTTATTTTGTGGTTTGATAAGGTCACGGGGCTCTTTGTTGAGACATGGCGCCTAATACCATACCTCATAACTAGTGTTCATCTCTGATTTTAAAATACCAAATTGCTCTCATGTTGATACTTTTTTTAAGTTAATGTTTAATCTTTTTGCTGTTGTACTTATTAGGGAGTATTTTGGCTTTTGAATCTAATCAGATGATAAATTATTCTTGCTCTTACTGTTAGTCCTTTGAACCTGATTGGATGATAAATTATGCTTCCTCTTGACATCAGTCTTCTCAGGCTGCCATTTATACACACTTCAGTTTTTGCCTTAGATATTTTCAAGACAGTCAAATAAAACATTAGTTTAGGAAAACAACTCTGGTGTGAAATTCACCGATAGGTAATGTCTGAATCTCATGCTCATGTAGTGTTAAATGACTGTTAAGTCCTTGTGGTTTATGGAAGCCCTGGGCATAAAACTTCTCCACGTGACAGAAATTCTGGTATGCTGAGCTCAGTTTACTTCCACTGATTTATATCAACACCTCAGGCCTGCAGTCTTTTTGAGATTACTTCCCTCCCCCAGAATTTGTAGATTCTCTTGGTTGATAGGCAGAGCAGATTGCAGTTAAGCACAATAATAAGCAAAGTTAATGCCAATCAAATGGCATCTACGTATCATAGGATGCAAGCTGGCTAAGAGACAGAGATGTTCCCCCCGTAGAGGTCAGGGCTTTGGAGTGAGTCTCCATGCCCCTCTTCCTATAGCAAATTACATTTTAACGATGACTTCGTGAATGTCTTCATGGTACGGGACCCTGTGTGTAGATATAGGAGAGGTAAGTAAAATCGAATGAGCAAATGGTCCCTGTGTACAAGTAGCAGCTTACTCTGCACAGTTGCTTGTATGTAAATGTGAGTGTGTGCGCATCGATGTGGCAGTTATCTTCCTTTTACTTCCAGACGTAGGATTCCCTTGAGCATCTTTTGTAAGGTCGTGGTGAAGTCCTCCATTTTTTTCTTGTCTTGGAAGCCCCTTTTTCTCTATTTGTGAAATATAATTTATTATAGTGTTCGTGGTTGGCAGGGTTTTTGTTTTTTTCCTGGAAGAATTTTGAAACATCATCTCTTTACCTCCTGATCTATAAGGTTTCTGCCTAGAAATCTGTTCTCTAGTGGGGGATTCCTTAAATGTAATAAAGGAATGTACTTTCACTCTTTTTAGAATTCTGTCTTTGTTTGGATTTTTGGTGTCTTTTGAGCCTCCTGGATGAAAGCTTATATGTTTCCTAAGATTTGGGACATTTTTAGCTCATATTTCATTGAATAGACTATCTATATATTTTTCCTTCTCTTCTCCTTCTAGAATACACATTATTTGAATATTTATTCATTTAATGATGTCCATCAGTTTTAGAGGCTTTCCTTCTCCCTCCATCCTTCTCCCTCCCTCTCTCCCCCGCCACCCTTGTCTGTCAGTTATTTCAAAAGACAAATCTTCAAGTTCATAAGTCCTTTCTCTTCTACATGATCTAGTCTGTTGTTGGAGCTCTCAACAGTTTTGTTTTGTTTTAGGTAATGAGAATTGAATCCAAGGGTGCTTAACCATTGAGCCACATCCCCTGCCCTTTTTATTTTGTACTTTGAGACAGGGTCTCGCTAAGTTGCTGAGGGTGGCTTTGAACTTGCAATTCTCCTGCTTCAGCCTCTGGGATTACAGGCATGGGCCACTACGCCGAGCTCTCAATAGTATTTTTAATATAATTTTCTGAGTTGTTCAGCTTGAAGACTTGTTTGACTTTTTTTCATGAACTGTATCCCTTTGTTGAGTTTCTCATTCATATTGTGAACTGTTATCCTGATTCATTGAATATGATTGTCTGTTTGTGCTTGTATCTCATTGAGTTTCCTTCTAATTCTTTTTCAGGCATTTCATCACTTTCCTTTTCTCTGGTGTCTGTTGCTAGAGTTACTGTGCTCCTCTGGAAGCATTGGCTTTTTCATGCTTCCTGTGTCCCTATGGTGATATTTGTGCATCTGTAGATCCATTAACTCTACCAGCTTGGTGGCTTGACGTTAAAAGACTTTCTCCAGGTATCAGATTGGCACACTTCATTGGCTTTGGTTCCAGTTGAGTACCATAGTGTCGTCTCTGTATAGCTTCTTTGGCTATGTGATGGCTTTGGGTGTAGTGTGTATGGCTGTGGGGACATAGAGCCTGTCTGTTTCCACGGGCTCTGGTGGCTTGGGTGGGTGTGTCACACAGAGCAGTGTGGGTGTGTTGTCCTCTGTGGAGGTCCATGCTGTGAGGTTGGCATATCTGTCTTTGACATCTTCTCAGCCATCCTGATGGTGAAATGTCAGAGCTTGGCAGGAAAGTTAGAGAGCTTTCGTTTTTGATAGAGAGCCCTTTTCTAGTGTTCAAATTGGTGGAGGAAGGACCTGGCCTGCACAAGAGAGAGGTTGCTTGGGAAGCAGTGTCTGAAGCAGCCTACCCACTTGAGCTCTTTATACCCACCAGGGCGGGCATGTGAATTTCAGAGCAACGAAAATGTTCTTAGCAAAAAACAGTATTTTACTGACACAAAGGTTAAACGGTCATCTCTCCAGAATTTGATGGAACAAGAGTAGCACCTTCCCATAGTTGGCCCCAGGCAGAAGCCTGATGTGACCAGTGCGCCCCAGGTGCGGGATGCCACTTCTCTAACCTGGCTTTATTTTCTGGCAGGACATTGACGGCCAAGCGCTCCTCCTGCTGACTCTCCCTACAGTGCAGGAGTGCATGGAGCTGAAGCTGGGACCCGCCATCAAATTATGCCATCAGATCGAGAGAGTGAAAGTGGCTTTCTACGCCCAGTATGCCAACTGACTCCACCTTTGGGGACCTGGCCTGTGATCTTTTGTGATGCTTTGTGAAGGTTTTCAGGACTAAGACTTTGATTTTTTTCTAGGATATATAAAGTGGTACACTCACTAAGTATTACCAAGAAGCCAGAGCCTGGCACCTCCCTCATCCACCAGCCTATTTGATGTTCCCGTGTTTTGAAAGCACACTGATGTCCCACAGGAGTAACTTCTACAGAGCATAATTACAGTTCTGCATCAGACCCTGCCAGGATATGGAAGAACTGCTCTGGATATCCACGTTTGGCCTTTCTCTCACCCCAAACCAGGCAGCTTCCTGGGATCCCATTTTCCTAACCCAAGGACCATGTTCTTTGAAAGCTGGGCTGGGTGCATATGTGGTCAAGGAGGATTCCTAACACCTTGCCAACAGTAGTTTTTGCTGTACTTGTTCTCAGATGCTTCCTGTCGATACATGTGGCCCTGGTTTAGTGTCATGTATGGCACTGTGGATTGATCTTGGTGATGACTCCCTTCTCCATCACAGCTGTGGACACAGATGTTTCAGGATATCCATCTAAAAAGACATGCTAAACCTCCACATCCAAATCTCTATCAGAGGTGCCTTTTAGAAAGTACAGGGGGTACAAAAGGAGGCTGGCATCTCATCAAAAGACATCCTTGAGTGATTGAAGCCTAGAATATCTGTGAAGGCAAGCAGAGCCACACTATCACCATCATCCTAATTTAATGTTAAACAGGTCTGTGAGTGACTGCTTTAGGGAAATGTGAAAATGTATATTGAAGGAAACACTTAATTTCAGAGAGTAAGAATGGGAAGAGGTCTGGAGGAAGCATTTGGTGAACTAGTTACCTCCACTTAGAAGGATCACTGCAGCAGGTCACTTGGAGCATTTCTTCTGCTCATTCCATGCTGACTTTTTCAGGCATGAGGAGGATGGAGTCCCTTGAGCAGTTTGGTTAAATCAGCTAAGTTGCTTGCAGATAAATTGATGGCTCTTAGAGCTGGCTGTCCTTTTATACCCAGCACCTCCGTGCGTTCTCATGGATGATTCAATATGTTCATGCAACCCAAAGGGACTACTGCTCTGATGTGGCTGCCTGCTGCCTTTTTAAACTTCTGCAAGGAAACCATATCTTCATGTTGTCCCGAAGTGAACAGAGGCTTTGTCCCTTTCTGGGTTTTTTGGGTTTTTTTGTTTTACTTTGTTGTTGTTTTGTTTTAAAATAACTGTGTTGATATTTTCCCTTTGACTGGCATCTCAACTGTTCCAGTAATATGGCACGGTGGGCTCATTAGCTACTCATGATTTCAGTGACATTTATAAGGTGTGATTATTGGTTGAACTTCAATTACTCCTGCTAACCTTTCTTAATATTCTGTAACAGTTACAGATGAAAATGGAAGACACATATTTTATGGCTGAGACTTTTTTAGTCTCCCCTGTAGCTGATTTCTACCCTCAAGTTTTAAACGTTTGGTGAATGGACCTGCCTGGGGACCTCTGATGGAAGGAGTCCCATGTGGTGTTGGAGGATGGACATGTCCTTGGTGATTGATGGTCAGTTTGCAGTAGGATATCTGACTTTTAAAGTCTTGACCTCTCTTCAGTTTCCCACTCCTGCCTTCTCAGCCACCTTATTGTGGCCTTAAGAGCTCAGTCCTGTGGAGTCAAACTTGGTCCGGTAATGGGAAAGGGTGTCCATTTCAAATCTGTGACATTTTCTCTGTGCTCACTCCTTTATGATCCTTAACTGGGGCCCTTTCAAGCTGAGTTGCTTCTATTGCATTTGAAATGGGGATGAAGACATGTGGCTACAGCATCATATTGTACTTTGAGAGCAAAAGTCACCTTCTTGTGCCCTTTCCAGTAGTGACATGGAAGAAGAGGTGCTACATCAGAGTAAGGAGATCTTCTGGAGTCTCCTGAGCTCACCCAGAGAGCCAGAGGACCACCCATCAGGAAGCTCAGGGTGGAAGCAGCCACCATTGCTGGGGGAAACTTTTTGCTTCCCAGGAGCTCACCATCCAAGACTCTCCTTATCCTTTTGACCTGGAGATTAACTTCATTCTCTCTTTGTGGTACTTCAGTTTTGTGTCCACATGCTGAGGAGACGGCTGTGACCAAAGCAGAAGAAAGCCCAGTCACCCTGTAGCCATCATGGAGATGTCTGTGTGCCATCTCCCAGCCCTCCAGGAGAGCTGGGAAATATTTGAGGACCAAGGAGGTGCTTTTCCTCTGAGAGTGACCAGTGTCCCTATGAATTTGGATTCTCTAGGGATTCCACCATGGTGGGTGCCGTGTTTCACATCAGCAGCAATTCTGTCACAGAATTGTAACATGGTTTTCATTTCTGTCTGGATTCACCTCTCACCAGCTTCTTTCTTAAAGATAGGACCAATTTCCAAGGAGTTTTTTGCTGTGTTGTGTCCTTGTTTCTTATGGCAGAAAAAAAACCCAAAACAAACAAAAATGGATTTTACTCATATACCCCAATGCCACCACTGCCCAGAAGCCAAAAATGTCTTGGTCTAAACAACAGTAGACGATGAACCCTGCTTCTTCCCTGGATGGCACTATTTCTTTATCTCTCTTTGATCATCCTTTGGGACCAAATCCTTTCCTGTACGCACCTGGGCTGTGTGTACGTCACGCCACTCATTACCTCCTAGGCTGGCCGAGCAGACCCCTTGCAGGCTGTACCGTGTAAGCAACCCAAGAAACAAACACCACCTCAGCTGTAGTGATGAGAGTCCATCGCTCAATCCCACCCTGAAGCTAAGGGCACTTGTTTCAGCCCCTGACTTCTTGACTCATTTGTACGATGTTGTAAAAAGAGAATAAAACCTACCAACCTGAAAAGAGCAGCGTACCACCAGCATGATGGAGCTGCTTTGGTTCTCTGCAGCAGTTTTCTTCACCACGGAGCTCCTGGGCTCGGAGAACTCATCTGTCCTTTGATCTAAGTTTGAGTCAACAGAGTATTTGAGCTGTACAGCAATTTAGATTCTTCTACCTTCTTTGATCATATTTGAAAGATCATTTCCTGTGTTCACTTTGATTTGTTGCTCCATAAATTAAAAATGATTCACACCCCAACACTGCCACCTCTGACCTTTAGTACAATCTCTAGGTTGATTTTGATCAGCCTTTTGAAGATTGGTCTATTTGCTAATTTATCTCATAGAATTTTGAGTGTTGTATAAGGCAAGTGCTGGATTTGCCTTCTTATACAAAACACCTCTTTCTAAGTTTTGGAAGCACTAGGGGTTTTCATACTTATTTTCTAGAACACCCATTTATATTTATTTCTGTATATAGAACTAAAGCAAAGCACAGTAGGGTTAAGGTCCTTATTGTGGGTTGAACATTATGGCTGCTTTCGGGTTAGGATGGTTACTGCTAGGCTCCAGTTACTCTGTATTCTGTCCTTGAAAGCTGTGATTGGGTGTGCAGTTATTTGGAAGGAAAAATAGTAAATTCAGATGTCTGTAGTGTGTAAGGAACAAGTCTGTAGAGAGGTCCATCCTGCCCGTGTCTCTGCGATATAACAACAGCAAGGGAAAGCTGTGTTGGCACCTATTACATACAGTTCAGTGGTTGTCTTTTTTAATTCACTGTTCATCTCTGTTTCAGCGTTTTCTGAAAATTATTCCCTTTAATTTGGTGAAAATTCCAAGTTTGATTAATTCTTGTAGCTTTCATCACTAGAGTGATTTCCAATTTCCAAACTATGGGATGATAAAATCAAATTGTACTGTTTTTGAACTGTTTTTAACAACAACAACAACAAAATTATCTAAAAATGATAATTGCTAATGCTTGGTTGCCATTTTGGGTGTTGGCTCTAGTTTAAATGACAGACTATAACTCAAGCAGCTTCCGGAGCTGTAGTCTTCTGGGTTTTGTTTTGTTTTTGTGTGTTTTTTTGTGTTTTGGTGGCGAGGGATCAGCACCAGTGAGCATGCAGATCGCTTCCCATCACCAAGGCAGGTGAGCGCTTCGCGGGGGCTGGAGAGACTCACTGAAGAATAAGGAACATTCCAGGACAAATTCCCTTTGGATGGAGAGTGTGAGGCAAATGTTTTAAATAATAGCAAGGATAGTCATCCCATGTGTTGTTCACAGTGGAAGCTAGCATGATATATCTAGAAGCATAAACTCCCTCGTCGTGAATGTCGAAAGCCCCGTTAACTTTTCTGCATTCCAGTTTGAATAGTTTGTATTGGGGTTTGATTTCTATCTTGTGTATGTTTTGGTGCATAAAAGGGAAGAATCGGTGTCTTTACTTTTGAAATTTGCAGGACGAAGGGCATGCTGTTAGTTTGCTGTAAGATTGTATTCTGTATATATGTTTTCATGTAAATAAATGAAAATCTATATCAGAGTTATATTTTAATTTTTATTCTAAATGAAAAATAAACCCTTTTTACTTGAAAAAAATTGTAAGCCACATTGTTAATAAAGTAAAAATAAATTCTGTGATTGTGTTTGTGTCTTCATGTTGAAGGTTATTGAATATTATGTTCAGAGTCTGTGTCACAGTTGTTTTGTTCTGAAGTTTTGTTTTTGCCATGAAATAAACATCTGTCTTTAGGCTGTCAGCAACCGTGGCTCTCAGAGTCCTGTGTGACCTTGCAAAGACACTTCTTAGCAACTGGTATTTATTCTTTTTTGTTGTTCAGACATTACTGTATATCCTCACATGACAACCCCTGGCCATCCAGATTTCAGTGATATCGTTTTCCCTATAATTGTCTGGTGCTTTAGTAGAAGTATTGATTTATTTTTTACAAAAGCCATAATTAAATAGTTGTGTTTACCTTTATCTTTTCTTCTTCCTGTCAAATTAGGTCTTGGCATCCAAGTTGGAAAGGAAAGAGATCCCTTTGCCCCTGAGCCCCATTGCGGGGGTTCTGTTGTGGTGGAGTACCCTCCTTCCTCTCAACACTAGGGGGACACCACCCAGGGACAGAAGGAAGGAGGGAGGGAGTTGAGGCACCCAGGTGGTGCAGGTACGAGAGCCAAGTCACTTCTCCGTTCTTCAGTCCAGACAGTCTCCAGAATTTTACTTCACTTTTCCCTTTAACTGCATATTGGGTTTTCTTATTTGTTTCACTTGTTTTTGTTTTTTGTACCAGGGAGGGATTGAACCCAAGGTGCTTTACCACTGAGCCACATCCTCAGCTCTTTCTATATTTTACTTAGAGACAGGGTCTCACAGAGTTGTTTAGGGCCTCCTTACGTCGCTGAGGCTGGTTTGATCCTCTTGCCTCAGCCTCCAGAGCTGCAGGGATTATAGACGTGTGCCACGGCGCCAGCTCCCTTTAAATGTGTTCTTTTGCCCTGCTCACAATCAAGTTCTGCATATGGAAGTTTTTATTTTGTTTTAATTATGAAATCATTTTTAAATAGTGAAGAGTTAAGGGAGACAAATAGGAAAGTATTGTTCATTTTCTCAAATGTACCAGAGCAGATAGATAAAGGATTGTATAGCCCAGTTTGATCCTTGCATTTCTATTTGTACTTGGAGATATTTGAGAACAGAAGTTTAAGCACTGACTATGTAATAAAAGAAAATGCAACTTGCACCTTTCCAGATCCTAAATTGAATGAGTCAAAACAAAACAAACTACCTTTCCATGTTGCAAGCAAAAACCTACATTTAAATTCTGCCATCTGGCCTGGCTTTGTACAACCTTCAGTTCACTAGGGTTACTTCCCCTTTACCCTAGGGTTTGTGATGTGGCTATTTTAAGTTTGAGGGAACATCATCCTTGCTGGAGGTTCAGAGACAACACTGAGAAAATATTGTTTAGGAGGACATGACCTTGGGTGAGTCCACGTGAGACCAGGCTGTTTATCAGTGAGATGAAAATTCTACATCAAAATAATAGATGAGCCAAGAAAGTTTATTAGGGAATAATTTCACCGAGAGGTTTTTGTGATGTCAGCCCAAGCACATACCATATAACCTGTCTCATCTGTTGCGTCAGAGTATATTGCTCAGTGTTCTCTCGCTGATAGAACTAAATGACAATTTGTAGTAATAAACATAAAGCTTTACTTTGTTATTCTGAAATGAGGCCAATACACGATGACCACTGCCACCATGCCTCCCCAGCCAGCCCCAAGTATTTATTTTGTGACAATAATGCCATCTTTTTTTGGGGGGGTGGAGAATTTTTGGAATGGTGGATATACTACAGTTAGGTGTACATTGTAAGTTTGTGTAGAGAGTGAACAGGATAAAGACAGACAATGGCGAGGAGGAAGACTGCAAATATTACACTTATTGCTGGGCTTGAATACTTTTTACCACTTTCTGGGTATGTAACACAAACCTCAGTCTTCTGGAAAAGGTAGGTATTAATACATCCATGCGTGGTTGATAGGAAGACTAGATATTGAATAAATACTGCATGATTCTAAGCAGTGTTAGCACATGGTAGCCAAGTCAGGTGTCCAGCTTCATCAGGCCCCATCAACTCCTTGGCCGCTTGCTCATCAGAACATCCTGGCCGCTGTGTCTTTCATGCCCACCTCAGCAGGAGCCTGGGCCACCCAAGACACCCACACTCCAACCCTTGAGAGTTGGTTACTACCCATCATTTCTGAAATGTGCACCGTTGGGAACAGGATGGACTTCTCCAGCAATTGACCAGCAGGGTGGGTGATGACTCATAGGTAAGAGGCACTTAAAGTTCTGGAGTATCCACCTGGATCCGGAAGGGAGAGAGAACCCTCCTGTCTCCTCTGGACGGTGCTTGTGTATGGCTGTCCTGTGACATCTCACTTGATGGAGAAGCTACCTGTGTTTGCTCAAGCGGAGGCCAACACCGTAGTATACTACCTTGTATTTGCACTCCTTTGACCTTGCCTCAATTTCCACTTTGCCTTATTTCTGCTGCTTTGGTATTTTATTCCCCCAAAAAAATACAACAATAGAGACTTTGCCTGAGACTAGGTTATCTTTTGAATTCCGGAGGAGAGAGTTGATGCCAAAGGTTTTCTAGAAAACAGTCCATGAGGATGGAAATCTGGAATCATTGCCACCTGTCTGAAAGTCACAGGGACGGACACCTTTGTTCTTTATAAGTAATGAATAGCACAGTCAGACACTGAGTGGTGTCATGATCACTAAAGCTTTTGCTTCTGGCAAATTTGAATAAGTAGCAGGTGGAAAGCAGGGCTGTGGGAGATTACATGCCACTGCTTATGGTGGGGGGTGTGTAATGTTAATAAAGATGATGTGTAGGAAATGGTATTTGGCATCCTCAAAAAGGAAAATGAGAGTCTTAGAGAAGCAATTTATCACCTCAAGAGTCTCTAAGGCAGTTTTCAAAGACTCTTTCATCTTATGAAGCCAGAAGGAAGACCCACTGAAAACCAGGCCCAGGACTTGGTTATAGAACAGCAGAGTTGCAAAAACAAAACAAAAACATGTTTCCCTGACAGGGATCCAAAGTCAAAGCCCTGCTAGGGAAAGAATAAAAATTAAAAACTCGAAACCCAAATGGGTCACTTACTACATAAGTCAAGAATCTTGAACTTCAAGTTCTCTAAACCCTCTTGGTTGGAAGAAACAACCACTTTCTCTGGACAGAAACACTCCCTTTGCCTGCACCATAGAACAGCTCCACCCGACACAGATACTTTTGCAAAATGACATTCTTCTCAAGGTGTGTTTCCCTTTAACTCCTTATTGCTTCTACAGCAACCAGATTTAGGTCTCAGCAGAGCCAGGTGGAGAAATGCAAACCCTGATCTAAGACGATAGTCCAAAGGCCACAGAACTACAGGATGTGGCTAATGTACACTGTGGGAGTTGATGAGGGTGCTAGAACCAGTAGGACAGGATGTGAGACTGAGTGTGGGAACATTTGTAATACTGAGCACTCACCTGTGACCTGGAATTCAGCATTCTAAGAAGGACTTGGAGCCAGTCTAATGGTTACCTCAGACGACTTCCAGATGTTGGGCCTGCAGTAAATGAGATGGAAATGCCAGCCTGTCCTTGTATTATTGAGGAAACGGGCAAAGGCTAGAAGTACAATGAATATGCCGTATAATTTAGGAGTAGGCTCACCCCATTGACCATCTTCACATTTGGCTGGTCCATGGTACCAATGACAGCATGCCAGTTGGACCTGGTGAACAGGAATCTTGGCAAAACACACACATTTCAGAGGGTGGAAGGTAAACATCACCAAAACTTAGGGACCTGTCCCATCGATGAAGATTTTAGAAGTCCTATAGTTAGGGGCACCCCAAGAAATTCCCTCTAAGGTGAAGAATGGGTTATACTTTCAAATTTTTACTTGTAAGAAGGGTATAATGCTTGGTGGGACAGTTTGGAGACAGCACATATGCACCTAAATATAATGGTTTGAAATATTTATTGCATGATTTGGAAGGCTGCCAATTAAGTGGGGTCTGGGGGAAGGTGGACTCGGGCAAGTTCAGGTTGCACTGCCAAACCTGTAACCCAGCAGAGTCAAAGGAGCAGGATTTGTCCACAGTGGGTAAGGATTATGTATGACATCCCTAGTAGGGCTGGATAGAAGACTCCTAGACTTCTGGAATAAGTTTAAGCCTTCCGTGGCAAGAAAAGGAAAAGAAAAAGACAAACACTCTTATGTTTGAAAGAGCTCTGGGATGCTTCAGGGCCCTGAGAGGCTCTGACTGAAAACACCACATGAGTTTTCAACCTGAAATATTCACCACGATCTATGGGGCTCTAGGATCTATCAAGTTAAAAGACAGAAGAAACAAGAACAAGGGCAATCCAGGTGTGATGGCAGTTGTGTATTAGACACCAGGCTTGAGAAGTTCCGTTAGTTATGAACCTGTGCCAACTACTGTCTATTCCTCAACTCACCCCGTGGCTTCATGAGGGAGCCTCTTCAACCAATCAGTGGAGAGCGAGAGAAAGGACTAGGGTATGGTTCATGGATGGGTCCATGGGATATGTTGGTAATTACCAATATATCGAAAGACCTAAAGGCTAAGGGCAGGTACAGGTTTAAGCAATAACTTCAATCATTCACTTCATGAAAAAGGGGAGGTGGCTTGAAGTACAGAAGTAACAGTGACTCCTGGGCCATGACATGATGGCTGATCCGAGGGGTCTGGAAGTGAAGACTAGAAAACTGGGACAAGAAGGCTTCAAAATAGATAAGTGAGGGTACCAATGGGAATGAGAAAAATCTTTTTGTAACTTTGTACGTGGTGTTGACGTTCCCAAGAGAGAATCTGTTACAGAGCAGATCTCAACAACTAGGTGGTTGGGATAACCTGTTCTGAGGCTGTCGGCCAGTGTCTTTCAGGGATCACCACTGCTTGTGCATGAGTTCCCAAAGAGAGAGGACCCACTGTGATGAGAATGAACGCTCTGCATGGGCCCAATCGCATGAGCTTTTCAAAAAGGTTGAGTTAGCCACTGCCTCAGCTCACCATCCCATTTTCCAAAATCTAGGACC